TCATTGACAGACATTTCATGAACTTGTCACATGACAAGGTATGTTTACAATTTATTTTATAATTTTAATTTTTTTATTATAATAACATACTGTAAGGACGCTTTCTGATGCTTTGATAATCATTAACTTTCTCAGTTCAACAACTTGAGCCCGACAGATTTTGAAAAATCCAATCTTCACTTAGATGGGTTTTTCAAGAAAAAAAATCAATTTCTGTTAGACGACGACTCGTCATCTAATGGTCCAACGCACATCCAATCTAAGAGACTTAACCGATTGGATGAGATGGGACAAAAACAGACAGAAATGGCTAACGAGATTGGAATGCTCAAGAATATGTTTATGGAGTTTTCAATGAGGAGTGCTACTGACTTTGCCATGCTCAAACAACTGATATTGGTTCGTTTTTTTTTGTATATAAAAACAAAAATATTAACTGTAATGGAAATTTGTAATTTTTCCATATTTATTCATATATTTATTTGATTTTTTTTTTTCTCTCCATAAATAATTTTTAAAAAGGGTGGAAATCTTGGAGCCAATGTTCCAAACGATAAAACAGGCGGTGCCACAAACATTGATGTTGATACAAGTCATCCCGATCCAAAGGTTTGTTTTAACACATATTGCTATCTGTCATAACAGATTTGTTTTCTTTGACAGGGATAACATAATTTTTTTTTTTTTTCACAAATTTTGGCCTTTAAATAAATTCAGGAATGTGATGTGGATGCCCAAGTTGAACAAGATACCGACGTGGGAAATAATTCCAAAGGAGTATGCAATCTCAACTATCATTCTTATAAATATTATTTTGTTTACATCGTGTAATGTACTTATTTTTCCAAGTATATATGCCAGATATATACCGTTTATATAACACATATAGCTATAACTGAACATGTAGTATTTATATATCAATGTATATACAGATATTTTTTATAATGCTTATATACAATATATAAATTTAATATTATATCTGAACATGTTCATTGTTATGTCATTCTTCCATTTTTTGTTTATACACTGTTTATATAGTGTATATATACAGTAAATATGAATTATTTTTTCAATTTCATCGATAATATTTTTTTTTACTTCCCATAGAATGAAGATGCAGTCAACCGGTTTAATGCTGATGATGTTGATGCCCAAGTTGGACAAGATACCGACTTGGGACATGATCCAAAAGGAGTATGTCATCTCAACTATCATTCTTATAATTATTTTTTGTTTACATATTGTATATATGTAGTTTAAGTTAACATGTACTGTTTATACAATGTATATATACTAGATATATACATTTTATATATTTTTTACATATTGTATATATGTAGTTTAAGTTAACATGTACTAGATATAATTACTTAGATATATTGTATATATGTAGTTTAACTTAACATGTACTATTTTATGTCATTTTTCCCTTTTTTGTTTATATACTGTTTACATAGTGTATATATATACTAAATCTGAATTATTTGTTCAAATTCATCGATTATATTTTTTTTTTCTGCCCATAGACTGAAGAAGCAGTCTACCAGTTGAATGCTATGTTGATGTTGACACGTTCTCTCCCATCAACACTCAATTTCTAGCCGAAATTGATAGGGATACTGAAGCAATAACAAAAAGTCGATCTATCGACAAGGAAAAGGTTTAAAAAAAAACACATTATGTTTTTTTGTGATTTAGTGCATTTATATTAAGCATATACATTAGATAAACATATACATTGTATTAATGTCCTTCATTTAAACACCATACATTTTTGTATATTTTTACTTGTAATAAATACTTCAAATTAATTATGCAGAAACCTGTAGGCCATGGTCTTTCACTGAATGAACGCATTGGTCTCAAATCCGAACCAGTCAAACTGTCTCAACTATCATCGCAACCATCATTTGACGCAATCACCAAAGATCTACATCCACTACAACTTTCGAGAGATGTGCACCCTACCAAGATGGTAACTGTTAGTTTTTATAATTATCCTTAAATCCATTCATAAA